GTGGCCCCCATGGTGGCAAATAAAATTCTCGGTCTCCTCCTCGGCCTCTTATAATTCCAATTATGTGGCAAGTAAGACATTTACATAATTGGACATTTTAGGTTTATGAAGTCACCGACTTCAGTCTGGTTTTGGAATGGTGGGTCACATATACTTAAAGTGTTAACAACCTTAAAATATTGTGGTACACCAACTACCACCCACTGCTACATTGGATTCAAGCCAGCTACCCAGTGCTGGCAAACTCAGTGGTCGAGTGGTTAAGATGTCTGCAGTAGCAAGCAGGAAGCCTTAGGCTGTGTGAATCCCACTCTCTGAAGCAAGTTTGTGAAGTTTTTGCGACTTCCAGATAACATAAATAATGATACACAGATAATGATAAAAGGGTGTAATGGCAATACCTAGAGTAAGATTTGAAGCTTTGCGTGGTGGATGAAACATGAGACATGGGTTTGTGGGTACACCATGGAATCAATCAAGGTGTGGTTCTTAAGAAGCACACCACGTCCAAAAGAGATTGATAGAACCAAACCTCGTCCAAAAGAGATTGATTCCATGGTGTACCCCCCAACCCATTTCTCAGTACCTAGAGTGAAATTAACACCCAAGGCCAATTAATATCATTGGCTGTGGTATACATAAACAAGATCATGATACAATCACTGCAGGAGAAGTCACTAAACAGAAATAAGAAAATTCCATTCACAAGTAAATACTTTTTAGCTTTCATGTAAACCGTGAAACAATTGTTAAGAGTGATATATTGTGTATATTATACAGGGTGCTTTAAAAGGAAACAGAGATAAAGGTGTTTCTTTAGGGACAGTGACCATTAAGATCCAGTATGAGAAGGGTCCCCCGGTAAGCTCGTCCAGCAGCAAAAACCCTTTCCTACCAGAGCAGCTACCAGACCAGGAGACTGGTCCCATGGTTGATCACAGGCTCTTACATACAGAGCTCCATTGTGTGCAAGTGTTGATACATTATCCATCCCAGAAGCAACCCACTTGTGGTTTTCACACTTCAATGCGAAACAATAGAACCCTTTCACCAGCATAGATCAAAACCCTGGCCTCGCAGTTTAATGCAAAAACTAACCTTACCTTACCAAGGCACTTGTCTGGATTTTAATTCAAGAGCGTAATAATTGATCCCCCTCCCCTTCACATCAATTGTATTGTGACTTCAATGTGTTTACCTTGTTCATGACAGTATCTACCTGTTCTTGGAAAACTATATTTATTTGGGTTTCAATAGATGGTAATTGATGTGATGACTTAATTGAATAAAATGCTTTCTACCCCTTTTTAACCCAAAGTTTAATTTAGCATTCCTGAATTTATATGAATAGCCGTTAGTTTTTGTTTGCTTATTATTGGTTTGCCCTCCTAGTACCTTTTATGTTCCATTTATATGAAAACTAATAAATTGAATATTGAAGGTGATTAATGTTAGAATTTAAATGTGGACATCTATATGGAAAGTATGGAATGTACTGGTCGGGGATAGTTCTTTAATACAATATAGTGGTCTACTACTTTGATAGAAAAAGTAACTTTAAAAAAAGTACCCATTTTCGTGGGAATAAATTGACAGGCCACCAAATACAGTTCAGACGAGAGAGAAATAAATAAACTTAGCGGGGGAATAAATTCAGGAGCCAATTTCAAATGCATTTCTCTGACGAGCTTTCATCCAACCGAAAGACTTACAACTGCCCCGACCATCATGTATAAACACTCTAAATCTTCCCGAGGCAATGGGGCTAGTTGACTTTTTTAGTGGCTGTATCTTTCAATCAACAAAGCCTCAGCATACTTTGTCAAACCTGGACCACATGTGGCTTCCATTTTTTCCTGCCCTTCCACATAATCACTTTTATTTCAACCAATCCACCAAAAATATCCTTCTTAGCTCTATTTTTTTCTGTTCTGAGCATCTAACCTACGAAAGTTTATATCAAAACCTGGATCAGGTGTGATTGTTATTTTCCCACTTCACCATGTCATTTTGTTTTAATCCAAGTATCCAACCCTCCCAAAAAAAATAATCCTCATCTCTGCATTTGTCCCACCGATAAATGTTTTTCTTTTATTCTGAGCATCCAACACACCAAAGTATTAATTCTTCCTTTCTCAGCATTTTTTTGCTATCCAAACCTCAACCATTTATGGTTTTTATTTGTTTACCTGCCCCGGCTCCAAATTTTTGTTTAATGCCGAGCATCCAACCCACCAAAAATATTAGTCTTTCACAAATCATTATTTCTCTATCCTGACCTGGACCCTCTTAGGATTAAATTTTTTCCTGCCCCACCGCATAGTCATTATTTTTATTCTGAGCATTAATTTAAACCCTCTAAAAATATTTATCCTTCTTGTCTCAGCATTTCTTTTCTATCCAAACCTCAACCATGTGTGGCTTTTCTTGTTTCCTCCACCCTACCTCCAATAATTTTTATTCTGTGCATCCAAGCCAATAAAAATATTAATCCTTCCCAACTCAGCATTTCCCAACCCAGACGCTCTTGGATTTAATTTTCCAGCCTAACCGCATAATCGTTATTTTCTTTCTGAGTATCAAACCCGCCAAAAATGTGAACGCTTCCCATATCAATATTTTTATTTTCTATCAAACCTGGACCACTTCTAGTTTTTATTATTTACCTGCCCTATATCATCTAATGATTATTTTTATTTGGAGCCAAAGAACCACCAAAGTTCTTTGCATCTTTGTTGAATTGTTCCATTCTGGCACACAAAGGAACAGTGCACTCCAGTGAATCATGTCTGGGAACATCAGGAACATATGTTATATATTATAAAAAATACATCTTGATAAAAGGAACATATGTTGAAGTGCTTTTTGGAATGCAAAGGAATGAGACGGTGTACAGCCGAACGGAAGGAATGCGTACGAACGGTCAGAGTGTGTTGTGATCTTGTCCCTCGGTTTGAGGAAATATTTTAAAACAAATCCTGTCCATATTTTTGAACCAGCGGCAGAAATAAAAAATTGGTATCACTTATCCTAAATATTTAATCCGATAAGTCATCTTTTGTTCAGCTCTGGCTTTTCTCAAAGGGGGGATAAATTGATATGCCTGTCTAATTTAACTGCATATGAACGGAACTGGGGTAGGCTGAATACCAGACTGGCTTTATACCAGACAAGGTGGGGCCTGGCTCTTTTCATGTCCCGCCTAAATGGTCACTGTCCCTTAATGTGACTTATTATTTTGGTAAATGGTAACCATCATCTGTTTCATTATGATGTCCTCTTTTGTATGACACCAAGAAATCCACATTTCCATCATGGATGACTGAGCATGAAGTGGTTTAATGGACCAAGTCAGAAATGGCTTTGTGCCAAATAGCTGTCTGTTGAAGTCATATTGTCCAGAGATGGCATGTGTTCTAATATCTCCAAAATGCATGTTAATAATTTTAAAAAGCGATAAGAACAAGGGCAAAAGTTCACATTGCAAGAAGTGGGGTCCATGTTAAAGGACACTGGGGTTACACTGTGGCAAGAAAAAACGCTGGCTTGAATTAATAATTTTGGTTGTGTACCTAACACTTCATGCTGTGTAAAAGCCAAAGCCATTTCTGACACAGTTAAGTAAACCACTTTGTGCTAACTTGTGTGACAGAAATGTGGATTTCTTGGTGCCATACAAACGAAGACGACATACTGAAATAAATGATAATTATTTAAACAAAAATAATTAGTCACATTAAAAAAAACTGGTAAATTATTCTCGGTTTCCTTTTGCAAAGACACCCTCAAAACCACCTGAACGGATTCCTGTCATCTGATTGGTGACTTTCAGATTGTATGACATGAATTATTCCTCCCAGTGTATATCACACACACCACAAAAACAGTACACTGGAACCAGGCAGGAGATCGATTACGTCAAAAATATAAGAGCAATTTCTAATACTCTGAGAATATCCATTAACCACATTGTGCCATGGGCATGTATGAATGTTGATTCTGCTGGGACAAGATAATTTTCACTTTTTCTATTTTCAAAATTCTTTCAAAATTCATATCTTCATTTACTGGACACTTACATCCACATGAAGGACCTTCTGATTCTACTCTAATCTGACAGACAACATCTATTGACGCTGGGGTATTTCAGCCAGACCTGTCGCTTTGTAAAGAGAGCCCAGATTGTGCAGTGTTACATATTTTCTTTTGTTGACGAAACTGGCACAATGCGCTGCTGACCTCTCTGCAATAGGGGCCAGATTAGCTTGCAGCTCATTGCTGTGGTGGTGAAGCACTTTTGTCCCCAGTGGTAATCCACTAGCACAGAATGCCCCAAACATTGGTATAATGTTTCAAAAAAATTCTGGATTATCTACACTATTGACATTGAAACATGTTGGTAATCCCCAGCAGCCTGGTCTTTTGTTACGAGTACGCTCTTTTGTTACAAGGCCCAGTTCCCTATGTCCGATTACGGAGACCCCGGGCTATGCCTATAAAGAATATATGCTCGAACCCGGGCTCCTCAGCAGCAAGTGGTTAATGTAGAATGTGGCACCTTAGTGTGATGATTTTACACCTGTCGGTCGGTCGGTCGATCGGTATTCTTATTTATACACAGTAAAATCATTAAGCCAGAGCTGTTTTTCAAGGGGCCATGTTAAAAAGTAAAAAAAAAATCAATATAATTAAAATAAAAAGTGTTTATGTTACGAGAAAATAGATAAAACCCACTAAAATTAGGAATTTATTCAGGCATTTTATAAATCACATCATTAGCTAATGTTTGCACATGGGGAAGAATAATTTTACGAGATGACAGAGTGAACATTCCATTCCATGAGGTAATGTTGGGTGAAATGGCACATGCACCCTGTCACCTCACGAATTATTCAATTACGATAGTATTCACAAACAAAAATTTAGGTGGTTAAATAATATACCATCAGTTGTTTGTAATTAGATTGTTTCAATTCATTTTTTATCCTTTTTTTTCCCAGAGCTCTCTTGGATGACCATGATTTCCATGAAGCATTGAAGGACATCTGCAATGAGCCAGTACCATACTTCATGCAATTTGGGGACCGTCCCCAAGCTCTGGGTCAGCAGTCTTCCAAGTCGCCCCCCATTGAAACCCCCCAACCACTTACTCTACCGAATGGTCCTGCTACATCCCATGTAGAGATTCAAACTAACTCTCGCCCCTCATCTAGCAAATCAGAGGCGTTGGCCACTTCAGATGACTACAAAGCTTGTGAAGTCACTGCTGTCAACCCTGGTAGAATAGATTTAGCTTTAGTGAGGTCCCAGACCCAGTCATCTGGGGCCCTACACACAGAGGCGGATTATCAACAAAGTTTGAGGGAAGAACAGAAGAGACTGGAGCAGCAGGCTCTTAAAAGGTTATCTGTTTTCCTCTTTAAAAGTTATTTGTAGTTTGGATTTTAAAAGTAACTGTAGAAAGCCTAGGACAAATTCTGCTGTGCATTTCTTTTGAAGTGACCTGTTTCTGATAGTTGTGAGCATTTTCGTGTTGTGTTTATGTCTTTTGATCATTTTTACAACCATTTTATAAAAATCAGAAATCTTGTTCGCCAGGAAGCAATGTCACTGGCTTTGAGAAGACCCCCAAATTTCATCTCTTTTTAGGTTAAAGTTCATTAGGTCATAACTAACACTTGGCCCTGTCCAACTCGAATCCGGAACGACAAGAACAAACATCAAGCCTTGGAATAGGACATACACTCCTTCCTACTGTTAATGTCATTAGTCCCTTTGGACACTCAAGACATTGATTTCCTCTCAAAGTCAATCCTGTCAACATTCATTCTCCCCCTAGTTTTTCAACATGGAGATGTCTCAACAATCATGCAATCAATTGTACAACACACATGGGCATCAGCAATAAATCTCCATCTGTGTGTATCTTGTCACCTTAGAAATGTTTGTGGTTCTCATACAATGACATCGTTTTGAATTCTGCTTCTTCCCCCTTTGGTCTGTCAACATTACCAAGGGTATTCGCTCACATAACTAGAGTGGCTGCAGCATATGAACTAGATCTAATATGCTATGATCTCCCAATATCTCAACAACTGGGATTTCTAGTGAACTCCAAGAAATCAAGTCTTGTCTTCCTCTGAACCACCCCAATATCAGAATAGCATGTTCAACTCGAGCATGTGTTGCTGACTTTGGATAGTGCATATGTCTTTATCATCAACAGTGGATCTCGCTTCATTATGTCTTACAACCAGCCCCATAAATCTTCTCCCATGGTATTGCTTATGCATCAGACCACTACAGCAACACCCACAATACGCTATTTTCCCAAATGAGGTCCAGTCACCATACTTGTGCCCATATTGCTACTAAATTCACATTTTTGTTGCTGTATAGACAACCTCAACATCAACAACAACCTTCACTTTCCACAACCACCCCAGAGATTATGATCACCACAACTGCATTGCCATAGGGCTGGGAGCATTGATGCCCCCCCCCCCCGTGCCCTGGATCTTCATGCAGTGTTTCGTGCCTTCCATCACTTCTCGTCTACACTCAAGACCATGTCAGTGCCGACCCAGTCAGATGCTGTGATAGCTCATGTCATCTAATGAGGTGTCACTTGCCTGTTCGGTCTATATCTATAGACACAGGATATTCTCAGCTGGACAATAGTCAGTGCAGTGAATCTCTTGGCTGTCCAAAATCCTGGCACTTCAAACAATCTAGCAGATGCCCTTTCACAAGGGGCAGTTCTTCCACAGAGGCAACTCTTCACCAAGAACTTATTTGCCACACTTGACAGACTTCATATTGACCTGTTTGCATCAACATGAAATATTCACTGTCTGGTATCCAGAGCCAGGTTGCCCAATCCACAGGCATGGCCAACAGACACCCTCTCAGTCAGTTAATACATATGCCTCTCCACCAAAAACTTTATTTCTGAGTGGTACTCCCAAGATACAGCAAAGAACTATGTCACATAATTCTTATTGCTTTGCTTTAGCCACACCAACCATTCCCTCAGCTGACCAGACCCCTTGTCAATCCACCACTTATACTTAGTACACAAGCAGGTCTCCTGCGTTCACATACCCCTGTCCAGCCTACATATGCGAATTTCCTATGTGCCTATTACAATTCGCTGAAGGGGATTATGCATGCTGCCCTTTACCCTCCACAGTGCACTGCATCCCTGCTGCCATGTTCATCCTTCTTTTTTCAGCGCCTATTATTTACGGACGTGTCTTTTGTGACATTTTCGGATTCTTAAGTTCCATACCTTCGCGTTTGTGAATTGACTTGATTCCTGTTTTGAAATAAAGAGTGATTTCTTATCTCTTGGTAAGAGTGCTTATTCTCATATATTTCGTTCTTTGCATGCTGTGTTTTTCTTGTGGTTCTTTTCTGCCCCTTTTTTTTCTGTCGTCATATACATGTTGGGATGTGACTTACCGTGATGTGTGACGTGGGTATGGCCGTTGAACAGGGTTGGAGGGCCCTTTGTTCATTATGTGGTGCGTGCGTTCGAATAATAACAGCCCAACGCAGTACGGGTCTGGCTGCGGAACGGGCTCGGTGGACTGCCCTGCTCCCTTTGTGGGGCGGTTCTGCATAATCCAATTAGCGGCTCGATGAGGAGAGACCCTGAATAGACTGGGGTTGAGCGGAGGTACCGCAATATGCCAAGATCGCTGATGACCACTACCAGGATTGATCGGGCTGAGAGAGCGGTACCGAAACAATGCCCTTGATCACTGATGACTATAACCCACCTACCTACCTACCCATTGGGCCGAGCGTGCTGGTCTACTATCCCTGGTCATCAATGCCCACTCTGCACCTATCAATCGGGTTGAGCGGATTTACTACAACAATACCCTTGATTAAGATTGTCTGGGAGTAATGAGCCAGTCCTTTCTCCATACCGCAGGTCCCAGGCTTCACCATCAACCACAACCCCAGACAACCCTACGGACCAATGGCTCAGCAGGGCCCATGGGGCAATGGCATGCTGTCTGCCCCGGGCCCTTCACCAGCTCCTGCTTGCTGGGCAACACTCGCTCGGAAGTCGGGCCAGTCAACTCCCTCCAAGCAGGCAACGGGCTTCACAGTGGGATTGCCATGCTCCACCGCTGTCATGGGCGAGTCAACAACTCGGCATGCTCCCCAGCCTTCTGTTGCCTTGGATGATGGTGCCCCTTCTGGACTGCTACACCACTGGGGCTTCCGTCAACCACACCTCATACGCAGCTCCAACCTGCCGTTGGACTCCGGTTATGAGCCCACCGATCCTGATCTCTGACGCTCCTGGCAGGAGACGACTGACCCCTCGGGGATCCTCGCCCGGTCCTTCCTCCCACATACCAGCCTCCAGCTCCCCACTCCGGCGAAGACTAAGAAGTGCAAGGCCAAGTCATCGGCTTCTTCTTCATCCAAGGCCAAGAATAGACGCCACTCCAAGCCAGATCCACCTCTATGGATGGAGACCCTCCAGCCTCTCTCGGAGGCCTTCACTTCGCTCACCCGCAAGATAGACTCTAAACCTCAGCCAGCGGCGACAGCACCTGACCCAGACCCTCTCCTGGCCATCCCACCTCACGCCCACTTGCCCCTTTCAGAGTCCAAGGTGACTTCTATCCTCTGACCGGAACCGTCTCCTCAGCAAGCTCTGGCGCCGGACCAAGTCCGGACTCACGGTTACCCACTCAGCTCGGAACACGACTCGGCCCTTCCCCCTGCCGGCCTTCAGCCCTAATCTTCTGAGGATGATGACATCGACTCTGTGGCTAGTCTGACTCAACCGGAGGGTCGCCTCTGCCTTCTTCAGCATGACTTGATCCATGTTCTTGGGCTCCCGTTATCGGATCCTATGCTGACGGAACAGGGACATACTTCATTCAAGCGCCACCCTTCACGTCTTGAATTAGCTTAGCCCATCTTCCCAGAGATCCCTCTAGATCGTTCCTGTGTGAAGATGATGAGTGCCTTCGCAAAAGCTAAATGCTAGCGTGCAATCCCTCCCAGGGCCTTGTCTTACTACCGTTTTCCTCAAGAGAATCTGACTCGCTTCCTGTCGACCCCAGATATTCCCGACGCTGCCAGAGACAAGATCTTGTTCGATTCTGGCCAACGAAATGCCTTCCAGGATAAGGACAAGGCTAACTTTGACTCAGTCCTCCGTCGCCTCGACATGGCATCCTGCTTTGGCCTCTGATGTTCGGCCTTTCTCCTCCCTCTATCAGTGTATATTGTGAAGAAGACTCCCCTGTCTCCCCAGACTTTGCGACCCTAGTCCTGCGAGGCCCCAATGAGGGACTCAATTTGACTTTTGAACAGTTCACTTGCATTACCCTTCTGGCTACTTCTAGCCGTAAACGCCATGAATATTCCCTATTGATCTGTCAGAAATAAATTCATGGATCTCCCCCTTCTGGGGATTACCTCTTTGCTGGGAAGTTCACAGAAGTCCTTGAGTCTGAGGTGAAACATATGGAGACCGCTAAGAAGATTTCACTTCGCAAACCTGCACCTTCACACTGGCAGCCTCCACCACCACCGAGACGATGGGTGAACCAGCCCATGCCTGCAGGTCGCCCTTTTAGCCGTCCACTCCGGGCAGCTACTTGGTCATCGGGCCCCCGGCGAGCTCCACCTACAACTACTCCTATAAGATTCCAGCCACGCCCTCTTGGCCGTGGGTTTTCACATTGTGCCCCCGGTCCTACTGGAGGATGGCGCCGGTGACTACTCCCATTCGCCTTTGGTGGCCGCTGAACCTGTCAACAGCCGCCTGGGCAGTTTCATCGGGTTCTAGTGGGAAATCACTGCGGACAGCTAGGTCCTCTCCACCATTGCCCATGGCTACTCCCTTGAGTTCACAAGCTCCCCGCCATCGGGGATGGTCTTCCACTCCACTCCTCCCCCATGCGACAAGTCCAAGCACTTGGCTCTCGTGGAGGAGATTACAACATTGCTACGCAAAGGAGCCATCACACTGGTGCATTCAAACCAGCTGTCCACCAGCTTCCTTTCGTCATTCTTTCTGACACCCAAGAAAGAACCAGGAAAGTGGCGACCAATAATCAATCTGAAACCGCTCAACATGTTCATCAAACGAAGACAGCTTTGAATTGAGACCCTGAGCGTTGTCCTACCCTCTTTACCAGTCCCGTATTGGGCCACCTCTATAGCTCTACGGGACACGTATCTCCGTATCCCGATACACAAACAGCACCGCAAGTTCCTCCGCTTCAAGTACTGCGGCCAAACCTTCCAGTTTCAGGCTCTTCTTTTCGGCCTCTCAACCTCACCAAGGATCTTTACCAGGATCGCCAAGACTCTCGCTGCCTACTTGCAACAGCGTGATGTCCTTCTGTTTCAATCTGTGGAC